GGGCCCGGCGCGGCAGGTAGGGAGGTCGCGTTGGTCGCTTCGGTTTGTCCGCATGTCGAGGAAACCCCTCTGCTTGGGAGGAAGCTGGCGGTTGTAAACACGCGTCTGTAGCACTTCTCCGTCCTGCGCACTGGGGAACTTGGCAAGAGCACGTTTACTCGTGTCAGCACCGCGCCCTGCTTCCTTCAGCCTCCCTTCCAGTGGTACTGCTCTGCCTTTCTTTTGCTGGAAAGAAACGCTTTCAAGTAAATTGTTCTCTTAAATGTACCGCTTTGGTTTTGATCTCTAGGCCTTTGCAAAGCTATTTGAAACTGGTTGAAAAGAGGCTGTGTTAAGAGACTGTTGTGGCTGTTCCAGGCAAGTAGCATTGAAGTATGTGTGTATGTTTGCTTTACAAGTAGAAATGAAGAGGTGTTACCGGAGAGGCAAAGGAAAGCGTGGACGGCGCACAGCTACTGCCCCCAATCACAATAACCATACTGTGAGGCAAGTATATGCAGCTTGTGCTTAGCATGGGTTAAGCTGTTAGATGTTATGCCAAATTAAATTTGCAGAATGGTGGCTATCTAAAAATGAGAGCTCGCCATCTAAAATCTAATGCACAGTATAGTATGTCTGTCATCCTTACTTGGGCTAGAATTGCATTGGTATCTGGAAATGTATTATGTGTGCATAACTGTATATTGGGTTTAAACTGAGATGCGGTTCCACAGGTGTGCCTGGTCATCCATAAAATCTTCATCAATATGCAGATAGTTCAGGGAACAAAACATGTTTGTATTTCATTGCACCTGCCCATTTATTTTATGCCACAGTATCTACTAGTGTAAAAACTGCCATTAAAGGATCTTGCTGAAAGTTTGAAAGCATGTTAAGTAATGTGGTAATAATACCACATGTAGCAGATCAGGGAACTGAAACAAGGTCTCAGGAATAATCCACTGCCTTGAAAACAGATTCCTTCAGAAAAGTGTGTTTTAAACTTTAGAACTCATGCTTGCCAATGTTTGAGCTATTTTTACGGCCCTTATTCTTTCCTGTGTTCTTTCTTTAGTTCCTCTTGCAGGAATAAAAGAGGCCAATCCTTTGCTTTAGTTCTCTAAGCATTTTCTAACAAATAGATTTTTAGAGAAAGAGACACACATGTACATGACTTTGCCTTATTAGTTGTTTTAGTGTAAGAAAAATTAAAAATGCAAATGGACCATAATTCAATGAATATAGAAGTAAAAGGATCTTATTAAAAGCTTTCAATTGAAGTGCTTGCATTTGGTGTGGGGTATTTTTCCCTCATGTAGATGTTATGTTCTTTAACTTTTCAAAGTTATATAATCAAAGAGTAATAGAGCTGATATTGGAATTAGAATTTATCTGTCATTTTGTTTTCAATAAATTATGACTCTTGCAAAACATTTTGGCCTAATGCTTTTAAGATGACATGTAATAAGGCCTGTCTTAAAAAGTGAGAATTGTAAAGGCAATTCAGAAAACATCCCTGTGGAATTTTGCTCATCAGTACTGAATATGCCCATTTAAGTTACTTAAAAAGAAGAAAGCTGCAGTTACCTTGTCTACTGCAGTGCTTATTACAAAAGCAAAGACTTTTCTTCCTTGGAGTTTTCATTAAACTTTGGTTTATTTTGCCTGTTTCTGAACCTCATCAGTGAAATTCCTGTCACAGAGAATGGCAAAATATTGTTGACTTGACATCAGTGTTTTACCCACACTATCTCTTTGTTTTAAGTGGTGAAGTCTTGCATGCTTTCAGGGGTGGGCTTTTCTTTTAATCAGGGGATATGGTAAAGAGCCCCCAATTAATCTTCTGTTGAAAAGAATTAAAGGCACTTGCAGAATCAGCAGACACCTCTAATGTGTTAGGAAGTTATTAAGGCCCTGAAAATATTGGCACCTCTAATGTTTTCGAGATATTATTAAGCTGAATATTTTTACTGTTTCATGTATGGTGAAATGCACAGGGTGCTTATCACAGCCCTGCAAAACTGTACTCCAGTAACATCAATAACAAGTTTCTCTGTGGCAAAGATGTGTAGGACAGTTGTGAGCCTGTCTTGAAGGCAATGCTGTTTTTTTAGACTGGAACAGGAGGAACCACAGACCCCAGTGCATGCAGGCCCCAGCAGCAGTGGGGATCCTTCTCCATCCAGTTTAACCCAGAACTCTGTAGTACCAGGTAAGAGACTGTGTTTTACAGGTCAGAAATCACTGCCTATATGCTGATTGCATAAAGAAAGTAGTAATAGCTGTGTTAATAGTATGGTGTTATAGGGAGGATATAAGCAGTAAAGTTCATAGAGGAAAGTAACATTGGGTGATATAAAAAGATCAATAAGTGAGGAATGAGAGAGGGGGGTCAAATGTGCTTTCACACCCATAAGTGCTTCTCATACTTGAAAACTTGCATGCTTAGCCATACTGATATAAACTGAAAAGAATAGTGGCTAAATGTTTGTTCATTATCAGGGAGTTGACTGGTGAAACCATACTTGATGCAGTAGCAGTGCTATTGAGGAAGATGTCCCATTCGCATTCTGGTTTCCTGACTCATTAAACAACCCTAGCAAAAGCTAAGCCTGTGGCAACACGGCTTATACTGACTGTATAACCTCATAACGACAAAGCCAGAGTTTAAGGAGACCTGTTTTTGTGTATCACCCTTTTGTGCTCTAGAGACTGTGAGCATGTTAGACATAACCTGCAAAACATCTGTTGCAGTATAATTAGGTTATGTATTGTAACTGCAGTGTGCTGTTATGAACCTTACTGATTCACTCACTAACTTTATATTTTTGTTGACCTGAATAAATCTTGGTCACTTGTTGCTAAGTTGAAACCTAAAAGATGCTGACAATGAGCTGAATTGTAAGCAGCAGCAAAAAGAGGTTACATCAAATGCAGTTTCTTGTAGTACATGAAGGTTTAAATAAAAACTCTTGAAATGAAGTGTTAACACTCCTCTTTCTGAATAAAATCCTTGGTCTTGAAACAGTGTGCCATTATGTATCTGTCAAAGTATTTTACCTGTCTGCCTCTGCGAATTTACCTGGGCAGTGATGCACTAAAATTGAATGTTTCTCTCATCCCTGTTTATCTTTGGAATGAGCCTCTGTGTATTGTCCAAATGTACTCTTGATCGTATCTATATTTCTCCTATGTGTTGAAGAAAAATTGGCTTGTTCTGGGAAGTGAATCACTTTATTTTGGTTTGGATGATACCTCTTTGTCAATTTGTTTGTTTGTGACTGCCTTACCTAGACTCTTAACTAAGAGTGTCACCTCATGATTGATTTATGAAGAAAAGTCATTTTTGTTCTGCAGCAAAATCTTTCCTCTCTGCCTCTCTGATCTGTCTGGATTTCATCGTGGTCAGTGGTGACATCCCTTCTCTTCCTGTGTAATGGCACTGCATTTGAAAACTAGAAATAATATTTTTTTCCTTTAAGTGGCAGTTATCTATTCCTAGTCTGTGTATCATGCTTGGGACCTGCTGGGAGCAAAAGCATTGAGCCTTATGACTGACATTCCCCTGAAGATGCGGGATGTCAAAGAGCAGTAAACAAACTTAGTTATCCATCTGATTTTTGCCTGGGTTTTACCACTTTTATCTTTTTTAACTCTAAGAACTGCCAGGATTTTACTATGACTCAGACAAGAACCGCTATTTTCGCCTGTTGCCTGGACATAATAACTACAACCCACTCACCAAGGAGAGCATTCAGTACAAGGCCATGGAATGCAAAAGACTGAAACTCTTAGAAGAGGAAGAAAAACAAAAGAAGGTACATTCTGAAAAAGATTGCAATTAGGCTTTATTGTGCTGTGGCCCAGGACAGATGATAAGCTAAAGCTTTTCAGTTCTTACTGTGGTACAGTTCCTAAGCTGTCTGAAGGAAGAAAAATTTCTTTCTGCTGAGAATTTATAGTCTTTGTAACCTTTTTTTTTTGGCTGTTCTACACAGGAATGAAAGCAAGTCATTACAAACAAAAAACCTATAAAGAGACAGGAACTCTGCTTAGAATTGCAGATTGTCCAACAGTTACAGTTGAGTCAGGACATTGCATGCCAGGTTTCAAATCCCTGCTGTTAACTGGCAAAGTGGGATCTTGATTTTCAGTTTTCCACATATTTAATAAATGTATTTATCATATTCTTGGACTCTGAAGAAACAATACTAATGATATTTTGTGGAAACAGCTTTTTCATTAAGTTTTTTTTTGGACAGGTAAGATCAAGGCAGGTTGTATGTTTATGTCTGGAAAGCCTGTGTGCTTTTCATCATGAAGTGTTACAGCAGAGTTAATGCTGATGCTGCATATCTGTAATCTGGGTAAAATACCCAACATAGATGTTTTAATTACCTGAAAGCTGTATCTTACAACATTACAAATCACAGCTCAGCTTAAATATGCTGTCTTTTGGAAGAAGCAAGCAGTATTTTCCTCCTTAGGTAATAAAAGTTCTTGCTTCAGCTGATATTCTGCTTTTCAGTCCTCACTGTGAACATGCTGCTATGAATTGGTTTTGGCTTTTTTTTGTTGTTGTTGTTTCAGCTGTTTACATGAGCAGTTTAGGTTTCATAGATACCAAATTGCTGCTGGCCACAGTGCTGTAGACGAAGCCCTTAGTGACATGGTTTAGTCCTTCACCCCATGGACTTGGCAGTCCTCAGGTTAAGGTTGGACTTGATGATCTTTGAGGTCTTTTCCAACCTAGTTGATTCTATGATTCTATGAGTCTATGGACATACATCTAAAAATCCAGCTATTGAATCAGACATCTGAATTAGGCTCCCAGATGAAAACATTCTTAATTACTTGTCTCCCCAGAAAGTGCATGAAAGTTTAAAAAATGAGGAATGGAGAAGTAGTTAAAGTAGTGCAGCAGTAAGGCTGCATAGTTAATAGCAATCTTGTGATAGAAAATTTTGCTGTATAGTAGGAATTTAAGGTTAGTGAAACCAGAAGGTGACTTCACACCTTAAGGTGGTACTGCTGATCATGTCAAGTGAAACCAATGGCTGTTGGGTTTTGTTGCTCAGTTGTTTCTGTGTTTGTTTCGGGTTTTTTCTTCCAATTTTCCTACTTATAGAAGCACCCCACAACATCTCACAGGAATGTATTGTCTACTTACTGTAGTAGACATGGGAGATGGTGTTGGAACATGTTTTATAGAGGTTCTTAAAATTTTAATGTATGTAGGCTAGAGGAAAAACTTACCCAAACATCTAAGACCCACAGCTATGTTTGAATTGTGAACAAGCAAATAACTGAATACGCTTTCATGTTACTCTCTTCCAGAAAACAACAAGGGCTGGGCTGAATTCATCTATGCTGTTACAGAAAAGGCAGCTGGGTTTGCTCAGCTCCACAAGTTATTGCAGGTACAATGGTGTGATTTGTTTTCTGTTTGTAGTACCAAGTTCTGCTGTTAGTGCAACTGTTCCTGTCAGGTTTTTTTGCATTTCTTACTGTTCAACTTAAGGTAAAGAGGAACATAGTACTTACAATAAGAAATTGGATATATTCTTTTATAATCAGATTACTAAAGTGATGAGAAATCAAAGAAGAGTTTTCCCAGTTTTGGAGAAATGGAGTTTAAAACTTCACTTCCCCTGCCTCACTCCCTTCCCCCTAACATATGCTGGTTTGCCACATTGTGCTTTATAAGTACAGTGCAGCTTTCCTTTGGATGACAGCTCTTCAACTGACATGAGCATTCCCCCCACCCCCAGTAGAATGGCTCAGGTAGCCCAGATTCAGTAACAGCGCAGAAAGCATGTTAGTGACTTGCTGTGGTGTTGTTTCTGCTACTGAAGATGTGTTGGTGTTCAAAATAATGGGATGAAATTCCATGAATGTGGAAAATGCACATGTGCATGGCTTATATAAGTTAAATTGCAGCGTGCTAGTTGATTGACATTTTATGTTCTGTGATTGAGAAGCAGTTCTGAATATCTTATCCAGAATTCATTGATTTGCATTAAACCTAGGTTTACGTGAATTCTTTCTCCCCACCTGCTTCTACAGGCTGGTTCATGAACTGAAAGTGAACTGTATGCACAGGAGGAAGATAGAAATTCACAGTCCAGATTCTTCAGTTGCTGGAACCAACAATTTTAAAATAATTGTGGTACGTTGATGAGAACTTAAGCTTTTAGGCTAAAGAAAGCCCATCTTCAGTGAGAATTCAGGATCTTGTAACCAAACTCCATAGGTCAAATTTTGCTTTCAAAGATGCATTACTCCTGTTGTGTCAGTTCTCAAAATCTGTGCTTGGTGATTGAACAGGTAGGAAGAGACTGTGACTATCGTAGGAAGAAAATAATGAAAAAGTTGGATATGAAAGTGATGTTTTTGGGGGTGTTTTCTTGGAAGCTGATTATCCTGTTGTCATGGAAATAAACTGGAGTTGAGTGGATTGGGAGGGAGAGTAGAGAGGATTAAGAGGAAGAAGAAAATGGAAGAGAAGAATTTTGGGAATGGCACGGTCTGTGGTCCAGAGAACCTATTTAAGCATTAGTAATCATTTTATATCTCATGATCTGAAGGCAGTTTCTGCTGGAGTTGATGGTACTGCATGTGCAGGAGAGGTCTCTGGAACAAATATCTTTAATAGTCTACACAGGAAGCTCTGCAAGACCAGATCCTGGCCTTGTAAACAGAGCACTGCATAGGCAGCTGAAGCCAGAAGTGTGTCAGAAACTTAGTGTCATAAAAGAAAGTTGAAATGTAGCTTTTGCTGTGATCCAGCAGCAGCAGAATTCCACTTTTGATAAGGTTTAAATTTTTGGTTTGAGTCCCCTGCCTGTATCAGTTTGTGCTTATTAGTTGGCCAGAGAAAGTCTAGAACTGCTGTGATTGGAAAGAGTACTTACTGTTACGCAAGAACTAAATGCTTTCCTTGATCAGGTTTTTTCTGTCCATAAAAAGGGTTAATCACTTCTTTTTAGAGATGAATGGGAAGTGGATGGTGTTAAAGGGATCAGAATTAATGTGTTGTTTCATTTCAGACCAGGTCCTTCAAACTGTTTTTTCCTGGAAGTTTCCAGGAAGTGTGACCAGTAAGCTTTTCTTTTACAGGCAGATGTTGCTTGTGAACGGATATTCACTGTGAACGACGTAGAGCATGGAGGATGTAAATATGGTATCATCAACCTCAGTGGTTTGGGGAAGGAGTCTCCCACTGTGGAGATGTATGACAACCTCTACTTCACAAATCGCAAAGTACTGTGTTCTGTTCCTGCTTCCTTCCTTTGTTGCATTCTTGGAATGCTGTTCTTGAGGGGCACAGGTGGAAATGCGTGAGGGTTAGGGAAGGGGTTAGGAGGAGACAATGGAAGAATGTAGCAGTGTGAAGTTTGGATAAATGCAGAGCCACGGTAAACTCGTCTTGGAAAGTCCTCAATACCAGTGTTAGTTCTCAGGAATATTATGCTACAATTGGAAGAGAAGACTGTAGAAGTACCAGCTTCCAAGGAACGAACTTAAGAGTTGCACTTGGCCATAGCTGTTAAAACTGATGTTGAAGGCCAGAAACTACTAAGACTTGCATGCTTATTTCTTAAAAATAATTTGGGGAAAAATCTGTTTATCCTCGATCACGAAGCATATTTAAAACAGGCTTTCATAATCTCTCCATGCTCAGATCCTTTTAAAGATGATCTCTTAAACAATAGGATGTGCTTGGTGCCTCAGTCTGTGTTTGGACAGACTTCTCAATGCTGCTGTCTCTTGCATTTAAGAGAAGTATGAGGCTAAAATGCTTGTGTCCCATTACTGGGCCGTTTGTTTGGTTAAGGAAGTGTGCCCAGTGCATAATTTTGTCATCGGTGCATGGAAATCTCATTTCATGAATTGAATAACAGATCACAAAACCGGTATGTCTTCTTGTGTCTGAAGGTGAATTCTATGTGCTGGGCATCACTGACTCATCCAGATTCTCATGTTTTATATCCTTTTAAAAAAAGCAAAATTTCAGTTCAGCTTTCACAAGTCTGCATCGTGCTGCACAGAACTAACTTCCAGGAAGGGCCTCTCATGTAGTTGCCCCAGAAATTACATTTTCTGGAAAACAGATAAAGTTATAAAAACTAGAAGATGTTGAAGGTATCAAGACAGATGTATGGTTCTGTTACATGTAGGATTGTTCCAGTGTTATAGTAGGTGAGACAGCATGTTTCCTGCCCAGGAGACTTCCCGTTTCATTAATAATGTAAATGCCATACCCAAATTATCTGATGTTTAGAAATTGGCTGGGGCAAAAGAACGAGAGAGAGAGAGAGAGAGGGTTAAGGCAACTACCTTTCTCTTTGAAGTCGACCTCTTTGAAAGTGGGTTGTTTGGTTTCTGTTGTAAACCATGCCTATACTGGTTGGGGTGAGAGGAGAGTGGAAGTGATTCTTGCTCTTATACTTTCAAGGCATGTTCTACAGATCTGTCTCAGAGGAGGGGGCAGGTTGATGCAGCAAAGTAGAGGCAGTAGTAATGGACAGTGCAGAGCCCAGAAAAGAGGAAAAAAGGGATTTTAAAGTGGGAAATGGCAGGCAACAATTGTGCTGTTAAAATGGCAAAAGACAGGAAATCACATGTAATGGGAAAAGCCAAGCAATTCAGGACTGCTCCAGAAGGTGGCAGGAGTGCATCAGTCTTGCTCACAGCTAGATAGGAGTTTGGGGGGATTGTTTGGTCATTTCGTCTTTTCGCTAGTCATGTCACAGATTTACTGCACTGAACTAGAAATGCAGCTTTCAAATCCTATTTATACCTGATATAAACTTCAGAAAGTATTTTAGTGTAATCTAAAGTGGGTCTTCCTTGCCTCCCAGTGTGCGTGCCACTTTCCAACTCACCTCCATGAAAAACAGATCTGTATTAATGCAGTGTCATCAGCATGTAAAGATGAGAAGAATGATGTATGGAGGCCATGCATTTTTTTCTATCACTAGAAAGATGTCTCAGTATTCTTCTCCTGTCTTTCTGCTAGTGAAAATACACAAGCAAGAATGAGATCTTTCTAGCCTCTTCCTATGGAAGAAATGAGAAGTCAAGACTTAAATGTAAACTGTAAGGCACATCAGAGGTCTCAAAGGGAAAGTACTGTGAGCTGTGGTTGTGTCACATCATCTCACCTCGCCTTTCCCAGCTATAAATGTTAGGTTGCCTGTCCCATTGTAGGGGAAAATCTTTGTTTTCCTTAACTCACTTCAGCAAGCTGTGTCTCATGGGAATTGCAGAAACACCAGGCTGTGCCAGTCTGCTTCCAGCATCGTTGTTCAGCAGCAGTAACTCAGGTAGGATGTTTCTGTTATTTTTTCTTTCTCCAATTTTTGATAGCAGTTATGATAGGAAAAGAGCACAAAAGAAAGATTAGTTCCACACTTGTCTTCAGTAGCTGGTGAGACTTTTGTATTCTTGAAAACTTAGAAAGTCTGAAACACTTGAAGAAGTGAACAGATAAAAGAACTTACCTTAAGAATTTATTAACAAGCAGTATTCAAAGCACTAGTTTATTTTAGCTGCTGCTGACACAGTACTTGACTTTGGGAGGAGAACACCTAATATGTAAAATAAACACTTGAGATTTTTCAGGAGTATCTTGCCCTGTAACTGATACTCAGAAGCTGCACACAAGAAGTACTCAAATTTCTTTAGAGACAATCCAGAATCATTGCAGCATCCCTTCTCGTAGTAGCTCCTCAGGTATACTCAGTGGATTAATCAAACATGGAAAGCCGGTAAATGTCTTAGCTGCTTCTACAAGCTCATGCTCAATTGTGTGTAGACGTGATTGATTCAGAGAATCCTGTGTCTTAAGTCTGATGGCTGTGGCTGTGTCTTTATATATCTTTGTTCAATGTTTTTGGGGGCAGGACTTTCTTGACAGATATCAGAACCATAGAATCATAGAATAGTTAGGGTTGGAAAGGACCTTAAGATCATCTAGTTCCAACCCCCCTGCCATGAGCAGGGACACCACACACTAAACTATGTCGCCCAAGGCTCTGTCCAGCCTGGCCTTAAACGCCTCCAGGGTTGGAGCATTCACAACTTCCTTGGGCAACCTATTGCAGTGCCTCACCACCCTCACTGTGAAGAACTTCTTCCTTATATCTAACCTAAAGTTCCCCTGTTTAAGTTTAAAGCCATTAACCCTTGTCCTACCACTACAGTCCCTAATGAAGAGTCCCTCCCCAGCATCCTTGTAGGCCCCCTTCAGATACTGGAAGGCTGCTGTAAGGTCTCCACACAGCCTTCTCTTTTCCAGGCTGAACAGCCCCAACTTTCTCAGCCTGTCATGCTTCTTCAAGTCACACGGTACAGTCCTCTGACCCAGTTTCCATTCAGACATAGTCAGTTAAGTTTATACAGAAGAAATGTGTGATAGATAAAGACTTACGGACCTATGTAAAATCTTTAATGCCATGCTATTTGTGCTGCCATTAAAAAAAAGATGCATAGAGTTTGCATAAACTTTGCATGCTACTAGGCCAGCATGCCCAATTGCTGTGTAGAACATTTGAAGCCCTTCACTATGATGAGAAGCCCTGAGTTCCACCCAAGTCCTCCTGTTTAGTATTTCTTATTAACCTTTTCAGGTATTTCCAAGTTAGATTGATTTCAGTCTCCTAAACTTGTTTTGAAGGAACCTTACTAAGCAGATGCTAGGAATAAAGTAGAAATTCACCTAAAACTGTGTTAGACATGTCCCCTGTGCTGTCTGAGATATGTATGATCATGATGCATGTGCAATGAAGGAAGTGAAACTGAGGACTTCAAATTTATGTCGATTAGTAGACTTTGTGCTGGAGCTACAGAAGTAAGGGTCAAATCAAGGGTATTGTTAGGCTTTGGCTAATCTATAGCTTATGAAGCAAATGTTTTGTGTTTCTAGCCCACTTGTCTTTAAAAAATGGCTTACTTAGTGCTGTAAGACAAGTGTTACTTTTTTTCTTTCCTGCCATGGTCAGCACTCTTAACTGCTGAATAAATTTCACAAGCTCTCACAATCATCTATCTATATAGACTACAAGTCTTCCGCTTTCATTTCCTGTCTCTTGAGTAGCACAGGGACACTAACTGGGTAACACTTTTTCTGCTTCAGATGGAAATGCTGAAAGAAGTATGGAAATCCAGAGAAGCTTTCCGAGAGATCACCCTGTCCTAACATTTTATGGATGCTTCATGTATTGCTCCTCTCTCCTAGGAGATCGACCTGGTATGCTGTGCAGCTTCAAGATATCCACTGCCTGGTCCTGTGCTTGGTGCCTGAACCCTCAAATAAATGCCTGCTTCAGCACAGGTGATCCACAAGGCTAGCAACCACTTCTGTCTCAGTGGGAAAGACTTCTTGCATTAATCTCCAAGCTGCTACCCAAATTACAGCTAAACAAGCATAATCTGTCTTCCTTAGGCCTGACACGACGAGTTCTTGTGGCCAATGTAGTGACAGGGCGCCAACAGTCATTTAGAACCAGTAGTGATGTATTGGCACAACAGTTTGCTACACAGGTAAGAACCACCGTGCCCTTCATTTTTCTAGAGCTTTTTCTGTCTGTGATTGGACTCATTGTGCCATACATAAGGTTGCGGTTACAATTACTGTTGGATAGATACTCCACAGTACAGCTGATGTGGTCTGATACTTGCATACAGTTGAAGAGCAAAAATAAACTGATTTTAAACTCTGTGGCAACAGGGGCAACTTTTGTTAATTGTACAGAGGTAAAAAGGAAATGAAGTACTAAGAGTACAGCAATGAAGTGTGTTAAAATTGTTTTATCTTTGGCAAATGACCTTGTTTTGTTAACACTCTTGATTGTCTCCATCAAGAAGGAGAAAACCCCTATTAAATACTTCTGGAAGTGTTCACAAACATTTAGTGAGAAGGGTGAAATTGGAATATGAGAATTCCAGTTCCTGTTCTGCTGTTATGTTGGACTACGTTCCTACTACCCTAGGAAAGTTCAGTTCCCTAGCTGAACTTTCACAGCTAAAGTAAATAGCTGAGATTTGAATGGAACAAATACTTTTGACAACTGGAACCAGAGAGCTCAAAAGCCTGATGTAGATGCTGTCTGCGTAAGCTGTAAGATCCCTTTAGGTGTTACATGGGTATGCTGCTTTCTCTTGGGCTCCTCCAGACACCAGTGCTTTACAACGGCTGCCGCTCAGGGGAGATCTTCAGCATCGATGTGCGTCAGCGCAACCGAAAGGGGCAGAGCTGGAAGGCGATTCAGCTCTTCCATGACTCAGCAGTTACATCCATTCGCCTTCTTAAGGCTGAACATTATCTTATGGCAGCAGATATGGCTGGCAAGGTATGGGTTTCTCACATTTAGGATATTCCATTCCTTTTAGTATCTGGGCACCGATAGGCACTTATCTGAGTTCCAAGGGTGGATGCGTGTTCTTTGGGAATAGTACAGAACTGGTGGTAGTTCCATATATGGGTCCTCTTCCAGATCTACATATTTGTAAATCATCAAGTGCTCTCTGCTTTCTTAATAAAATCTTTCAAACAATTACTTCAATTTGCAGATAAAACTGTGGGACCTGAGAACAGCAAAGTGTGTGAAGCAGTACAAAGGTCATCACAATGAATATGCTATTCTCCCCCTGCATGTAAACGAGGAGGAAGGACTTCTAACAGCAGGTGGGTTGACTTTTTGTTCCCCTCTACTCAGAGAGTACGTCAGTGATTTTCTTATGCCTGAGGAGTGTTTCTTAGCTACAGCTGTTGGAAGCTGTAAACTGTTAAGGTTAAATTTCTTCAGAATTTTAAAGATTTAGGCATAGTGTAATGTACTATGAAAATTAAGAACTAATGTGATGGATGCACACCTACAGTAATCACTTCTTTGTAGCATTTAATGGCTTTATCTGCTGTGTCCTGCATTATCCTTTCCACAGTGCGTCTCAAGAGCAGAGCAGAGAACGCTTAATTTTGAAGTTCAGGGAAACAGCATGTGAACAGGAGATTTGGTAATAACTTTATATAGAGACTAAAGTCTGTGCATAGATTGGTTTGATGCTTAAGGAGGTCATGTGGTGATGGACTGAAGCACTGGCATGTAAGCCAAACTCCTTATAAACTGTCTGTACCACACAGGTTCATTTTGAATATACTTGGCTACAGGCTGAGATTACTTTTTGGTTTTTTTATTGGGGTTGGGAGGAGGAAAGGTAACAAAAAATGAAGCAAAGCCCCTAAAAGTCCCTACGCAGGGACTGTGAGAATGAAGACCTTAG